TGATATAGATAAATTCGTAAGAACAAAGTTATCATACATTTCAAATTATTTTAATTTGTAATTGTAAAAGTTTCGGACAAAGAAGAATTGGTCGTAAAGACAGACAATAACTTACAATAAAAATAAAATTAAGACGATTATATATATATATATTTATAATGAATGATGATTGAGAAAAAAGATTTTATTAAAAATAATTAAATTGTCCGATACAAATTAATCATTAAAAAAAGTTGATAAATAGTTGGTATATATAGATATGAATGATAAAAAGAATTATATGTTTATAATTAATTTATAGGGGAAGCCATGGAGAAATTTGTGGAGCTGTGTGTGCCACTTCACAAGCATGCCCTAGAAGGCAACTGGGCAGCAGCAAAACGCATCCTAGACGAAGGGTTGGCCCACAGTGCTGCATGTTGCTGCTGGTGCAAACCACGTTGACTTCGTTGACCAATTGCTCCAAGTACTCGACAAGGAACACATGGAATTGCAAGACATCAAGGGCAACACAGCATTCTGCTTCGCCGCTGCGTCTGGGAACATGGACATTGCTCGCTTGTTGCTGCACAAGAACTCATTCTTGCCTCTCATCAGAGGCGGAAATGGACGCACCCCTCTTCACTTCGCTGCCATGCAAGGAAGATGCCACATGACCCGCTTTTTGTATGATCTCACCAAACCTGTCTTTCAGGATCAGGACTGCCAACTCTTGTTCTTCACTTCTATCCACACTGCCAACTATGGTACGTCATCAATGTTCCCACATGAGTGTCTATTTCGAAAAAAGTCTTGATCATGAAAATTTTGACTTTTTAAGTATCAAAATATTCCTAACATTTTTCAAAGAGATAAGTAATAGATAAGTAATAGTTTATTAGTGCTCATCCTAGCTTGATATGGGAAGTGGACAACCAAAACCAAAGTATAATTCACACAGCGGTTTCGCATCGCCATGCTAGCATATTCAATTTAGTGCATGAAATAGGGTCACATAAGGATATCATAGTAACATATATAGTGGAAGGAAGTAACACATTATTGCATTTGGCTGCAAAATTAGCCCCACAAGGCCAACTTGAATTAGTTTCTGGAGCAGCATTCCAAATGAGCCTTGAGTTAATATGGTTTGAGGTAATAATAATTAGTACATGAATAAAGACTTTAACAATCACCGAGACTTCTAATTTATGCTTTGAACTTCTAAATTGTAGTTGTTGGGATACGAGGTTCATTCACTACATTCATCTATACTTACTCAACTCGATATATATGTGACAGGAGGTGAAGAAGATAATGCCACCATCATTCATAAAATTGAGAAATTCTGAAAGCTTAACTGCTCAAGAATTGTTCACTAGGGAGCACGAAGAACTAAGAAAAAAGGCAGAGGATTGGATGAAACGCACTGCTGAATTTTGCATGCTTATTTCGACCGTTATTGCAACAGGAGTGTTCTCTACTGCAATCAACATACCAGGTGGCATCGATGATCAAACGAAAAAACCAAATTACTTAGACAAAACCTCGTTCCTAGCATTTGCAATATCAGATGCAACTGCATTCATCTCATCTGCAGCTGCAATATTAATATTCTTTTCTATTCTTATATCACGTTATGCAGAGTATGACTTTTACAAGTCATTGCCCTTGAAGTTAATTTTCGGATTGATAACGCTATTCATCTCCATAACATGTATGATGATAGCATTTGGCAGTGCCTTCTTTATCACGTACAACTATGGTTTGAAGGTTGTTCCTGATTTTATTTCAGTTCTTGCGTGTCTACCAATGCTTTTATATATAGCTTTGCAATTTTCGTTATGGTCAGATATCATCTACTCAACCTACTACTGTAGGACTTTATTTAAGCCAAGTAAACGTATGATTTACCTTCTAGAGAAGTAGAGGCATTGTAATCAAATCATGTTTTGATTTGTGAAAGTTGTAATATTATTTGGACATAAAAAGTAATATTGTCAATAGAAAAAATGATTTTGTACTAAAATTCGTTTTTTGAAGGATATATTCTTCCATTTTGTAAGAGTCAAGTGATATATTGAAGAAACAGAGAAATAATGAAAGAAGGATTAGTTTTTGTTGTTGGGAGGAGGTTAGTGACGTGAGATAATTTAAAAAAATATGTGAAGTAGTGAAAGCTAGTAATTGACAGAAAATGATAACATGAGTTTATTGCATTTGGGAGGTACACTCAAATCTCATGTGTGAAGGTTTATTTATAGGCTCCGACACTGTCTCCATGAATGGTGGTGATAAAAATTTTTAATGTTGGAAATTTTTAGTATATCACTAGTACCGAATCTTCTACAATTTATTTTAGTATTCTAGCTACTTCTTTTTCTTGAAATCTAATATTAATTTCTTATAGGAATGACAAAAAGGGTTGTGATTCGCGGGCCGGGCTCAATATTTCAACCCACCAAACCTGCCAGCCTGCCGGGACAAATAGCGGGCTGGTTTATCACTACCCGTCAATCCACATACTTTAATTTTTTATATTAATTTTTCTTATGTTTAATTTATTTTGATGTAGAAGATGAGGATGAAGATGTTCAACACAAAAAAATATAGACAACTTCTTTCAAGGGAGCTTCTAATGTTCTTGAAATAGAAAGTTAAAGTTGATTAATTGTGTTTGGACTTGTTTTGTGGACTATAAAAAATTTAGTTTATTAGTAATTTGTAAGTTTATAATTTGATTTTGATTTTGGTGTAAGTCGACTAATTTCTATTTGATTTTGTTATAAGTTTGTAATTTATTTTTGTTGACCATATATTATGTATAATATGTATGCATTTTTAATTTCATATGGTTATATTTATTTATTTGTAGTAATTTTTTTTATTTGAACATATTTTTTTTTGTAAAATTTTTTGTGGTATGCGGGCTGGCCTGCCGACCCGCTAGTCTGTCCTTAGGCGGGGCGGGCTAGCTATCCCAACCCGTTTTCTATTGGCGAGTCGGCCTGGCCTGGCCCATTTTTGGCAGGCCATTGGCGGGCCAGGCCAAAACGGGCTGGGCTGACCCGTTTTGCCACTCCTAATTTCTTGCATCCTTAATTTCTTAATTAGTACTCTTATTGCTCAACCTCTAGGTATTTCATCCAATCTTTTTCCCGCTTTATAAATTTGGGATTTTAAGGACTACAAATACATCCTTTATATCATTATCTTAGGGTCAAGCTCAAACTATCAACATACACAACATTTAATTCCTTTTAGAGAGACAATAGATGATTCATAATAAAACATATTTAACACCAATTTACATTGAAAGATATAATTCTTACAAAACCCCCCAATAATACAAATCTCCCTCAATTATCATCACATAATCCTAACCCTAAGATATTTAACACTTAAAAAAGTTCAATTAATCATCTTAAATATGTGAAAATTGCAACAATTATCCCCATATCTAAACATGAATAGCATAATATCAATTGATCCATCAAACACATCCTATTACAAATCCTAAAGAAACATAGGGATTATCGCACTATATAATCTTCATACTTGCTCCTAAGGTGGGATATTTTCACTTCTTCTCTTACCTTAGAAATGACCCCCAAGATAACAAGCATGATCTTTTATGTTCCAAGGCTACTCCATGCATTTCTATAAGTTTTCCTCTAAGTTTTTCCTTTGCAAGTATTCTTAGGGTCTAAAAATTAACATGTATGACCTAACCCTTCCTCTTTTATGTAGGGTTGAAGCAAAGAGTTCAAATCCAAAAGCTTCCCACAAATCCATAGTCTATCATTATTTTATTTAGTAAAAACATTCATCATTTATATTATAAATTTTATTAATAAATTAACTTTATAATATAAATATTAATAAAAAAATTTATTTTATTTTTATTTTTGGAAAATAAAATGTTACAATTATGTTTTGGGAGGACAAATGGATAGGGAAGAAGATTCGAGAATAAAATATGATAGACTATATCTAAACTTATAACAATATAGATGTATGGTGGGACAGTATGAGGAATTGGTTAAGGAGTTGCTATGAATGGAAGTTGGATAAGGGATTAGTTTTAATTAGAGAAAGTTGATGGTAGAAAAACTGGTGGAAGATATAAATACACAGTAAAGTCAAGATGTGGGTTAAGAGATTGTTGGGTATAAAGAAAGGAAGATAATTCTTGGAAGTACACATTTAAATTTTCCTACACTTTTGGTACATGAACAAAGTATTCTTATAAGCACCTTTTTCTTTATATGCTTTTGGTGCACATGTACACTAGTACCTACCTAACGTCGAAGCTTTTGCAAGGAGGGTGTTACTTGATAGAATTCAAACAAATTAGAGGCCTCTATACCTAAAAAAGACAAATGCCATTTTATAGAAGTTTCATGTCCATTGTATAGTCTAGTTGAAAACACTACTTGTTATATCGTATGTTTTCTCATTCATTATCTTCTCCATATGGAAATTAATGTTACAACTGCATGTGAGCTAAGTAGTCATCACCCGTGACAATATAAGCCACTTCTTTTTACAAATTGTGTATGGTATCTAGGAACAAATTAAATTTAGAATGCTCAACGGGTTTATGTAGATGTATCGTGAATTTTGTTGAACATAATAAAATTTAGATCTTTGCTGTGATATAGTTAAGTGCTAAGGTATTGAGGTGAAGGTGTTTTTAATTTCTTATTATATATGAATGGTCAGCAAATTCCATATACTAGTAATATATATGTATTTTGTATATTTTCTTAATTAGTAAAAATAATAGATAAGGAATAACATTTCCAAGATTATCGAGCAACGGAGTAAAAAATCAATAAAATTTAAGGATTTTCAGATCAAATGTTATTTTTCACTTAGTAGTAAACAATAGTTAGTAGTGTCTAATTTAACACAAGACTTGTTGAATAGAGAGTACAACAGAGACTCATTAGAAGAATTTCACCTCTGACACCAAAAGGATCTCTTTAAATAAGTATGTCCACTAAAGTAAGATTTTAACGTTTATAGGATGTTGAACTTGCATTATGAGAAATGTAAGCTCAAACCATATCCCACACATTTGTCTTTAATTTATACTTTTAATTTATATATTTTGTCTCTATTGATAAGAAAAAATAAAACTTACAATGTAAAATAGTTAGTAGTACACAAGACTTGTTGAACAAAGAGTACAACAAAAATCTATTAGAAGAATTTTACCTCTAACACCAAAAGATCTATTTAAATACGTATGTCTACTAAAATAAGATTTTAATGTTTATAGGGTGTTGAACTTGCATTAGGAGAAATGCAAGCTCAAACCATATCCCACACATTTGTCTTTCATTTATACTTTTAATTATATATATATTTTGTCTCTGCTAATAAGAAAAAAATAAATATTACAATGTAATTCTAGTTGAATAAATTTTGATATAATTAATAAGATTCTCATAAAATAGTTTGTGTCGAGCAAGTTAAAATAATCAATAAAATTTTAATATTATAAATATTTTTATCAACTAATGTAATGACATATAGATACTAAATAGTTACAAATACTCAAGTGACACTCTTTGTTGTTTTTTTTCTATCTTTCTTCTTGTGATATCAAATTACCACTAATAAGAATTATTATTTAACGATACATATTCTATGAAGGTATAATATTTATTATTAAAAATTAATTTTATCTATATTATAATACATATTAATATATTATTAAAAAATATGAATATAAATTATAATAACACATAATATATATATATTTTAAATCTCATTTAAAATAATATTAAATTTTATATAATTATATATCATATAGATTTATATTTTCATATATTATTTTTTAATTAAATTTTTTTTTTTGCATGTGTAACATTAATTTCTCGTGGTGTACCAATTATTTCAATCAGTTATGTGTCACTCTTTCAAAGTGACTTTAGCCCGTGACTGTCCAGTATCTTCTTAATGACCCATCACCACCACTTGTCGGCCATACAAAAAAGAAAGGGAGAATTATGGATACAATTCAAACCTTAATTAAACTCGAACATGGTCGTGATTCGTTAATCTAAGACATGTCGAACACAATAAATTCATACCCAAAAAACAGTTTATATAAGATGGTGGCGCCGAATATTGCGACAAAGTAGCTTTACTATATAAGTTCTATATTATATTATGATATATACTTTATACATTTATAGATGAATTGGCCAATTAATATATTAACCTGACTTGGAGCAATATTATCTGTTTTGGATTCATTTTCACCTCGTTGACGACCCAAGTCGTTCACCATTGCAACAATAGTTGAAAGCCATAGAGGAAGGAAAGAATCTAAAGGATGTTCCTTGAGCACTTTTTCTGTTATCATGGGGCCACTTTCTTCTATAAATCCCCACTCCTTCATTCAACACCACGCCACTACCACTCCCACCATCTTGTTCTTCTTCGGGTAATTTCTATTTCTCCATTCCACTTCTGTTTTCTTTTTCCTTTTTTTTATTAGTATTTTTTTTTATTATAAATCAGAATAACCTAAAGTTAAAGAACAACTCTTCGAAATATGGGATCTGCTAAAACAACTGAACTCTTCTAACAAGTTTTTTTTTTTCCTTTTTTTTTCTTTCATACACATAAATTAGATGTACGTGGTGTTTGATCTTAACCTACACTTGTTTCAGTTCTATTTTCTGCTCTTTTTTCCCTTCAGTTATGGACCCTTTGAATACCCCTCAGTTCTGGATTTTTTTTTTTTAATCTATTACTAGTCGACCAAGAATCCCACCAGATCTATGAATTAAATACGTTTTTTTCATACAATTTTGAATTTTTTATTTTAGTTTTATTTTCCCAAACCACTCTTTGATATCATTGATCATTTTTGTGCAGGCATTCAAGGGTAGGAGGAAAAGCTGCCGACAAAAGTAATATTTTGAGGTACGCAGCTTTAACAATTTCTTCATTAGATTGAAATTTCAGACACAGGTTAGGAAGCAACAATTGCCGTACAATAACTAGCCAAAAGTTGAGGGTAGATGGAGAACATTAGCATATGTCCCCACCACCTCGTTTTGCATGTGCTTCTCATTAATATATTCTTTTAAGAGAAATTTTAATATATTTTTTTTCTTGAGATAAAGTTTGGTTATGCTTGTTGCATTTGTTTTAGGCTTCCTCATACTCCATTTATAATAATCCATATATATTATAAATAAATATAAGGATTAGTTTAATCCTCGTACTTGTCATGTTCTGTGTCGCGTTATGACCTACGACCATGAGTTAGAGTATATAAGTTGGGACAAGACTCACCTAACAAGTTGATTTGTATGGTTGAGTGTTAGACTTGTAATCTACAAGCTTAGAATTTAAAAGATTATGTATCACATGTTGAAGGCATGGAAACAAATCCTTCGGATGAATTCTTTATGAACATTTGAAGCTGAAGAATTATTGATAGAATTTATAATAATTTTTTTTAATTTTTTTTTGTAAAAAAATATTTTTGCAGAATTTCTTGCGAAAAAATTTGCAAAAAACTTTCCTGCGAAATTTTTTTTTGCAGGAAACTTTCCTACAAATTTTTTTCACAAGAAATTTCGTAGGAAAATTTTCCGTGAATTTTAAAATTCGCAAAAATATATTATCCACGAAGTAATTACCTACAGATAAAATTTCGCAGAAAAATTTGTAGGAATAACTTTTCCTGCAAATTTTTCATAAAAATTCACAAAAAAAATCGCATGTAATAAGAGAAATTCTAGTAGTGTAAGTATATGTAAGAATGATAGCTTTTTTTGATCTATTGAAGAATGAGCACTTAGCAAAAGATTATTCACACTTTGATTCTACATTCCAACATTGTAGTTCTTTTCATAGGAGCACTGAAAAAGATACATTAGAGGAGAGAATATCATTGAGCTAAAGGTACAACAAGTGTCACATAGGAGAGAACTCTATGATACAATTGATATTTGCAAGTGTGAGTGTGCATAATACCATATTTGGTTAAGCATTTGTAAAATGTGTTTTGTTCTTAACCATAAAGGTATGACTAGTACATAATCAATCCATAATTTATGCATACAACAAAATAACAGACTCTATTATTTTTATTTAAAAGATGTGTGTTGGTAATTAATTGCAAATAAAATAATATATCCATACATTCCACGAAATCAATACATAAGGCATAACACCCATATTGTAGCAACCTCGGTCGCGACGGGACGACGAAAAATAAATTGAAAAAGAGGGAGTCGCCACCAATGTTGTTTTTTTTACGGAAAAACATTGTAAAAACCATAAGATAGAAAATAGCCTACGAAAACCAAATTTTGAGTTCGGGAGTCGATTACGTGTGAGGAAGGTATTAGCACCTCACAACGTTCGTCCTAAGATGATTACCTTTAATTAATTAAACTAATTATTTATAATTTATAAAATATTTATCTCACTAAAATGATTAAATATATTTTATTTAACTAATTTAAATTATTGCATTGAAAAAAGGTTAAAATTATTATTGTTATATAAAAAGGAGGATAATATATTTTTTATTTTTTGGCTCGACAAGATTTATTTCTTGCTCCTACGTATCTTCATGTGTAATGAAGAATCAGAGTCACGTAGTTCTTTGGTAGAAAATATTTGTGTGTTAACATTTTTTAATTAAATTTTATTTTTGTAAAATGTATGATTTTTGAACTGTCTCAACTCATTCACCCTAAAAATATAATATTGACTAAGGTGTACACCAAAGTCAATTCAATAAAATTTTAATTATAATTATTGCTAGAGAAGTTATGATGTTAAAAAATTTATTAATTGGACATTTTCTTTTTTTGGAGAAAAAATTTAAAGATAAGCTGTCACAACTTGTACTTTAAATTCAAAGGTTAAAAAGATGTCACATCTAGTTAACCATTCCTCCAATAAAATTTTTAATACAATAATTTCAGATATTTACATTAAATATTGTAACATTATATTTTGATATTTAATCACATTTTGGATTTAAATAAAGACTAATGACAGATATTATTAATATAAAAAAAAATAATAATAAAAGAAGTGAGTTCGATGTACTCACAATTCTTTGTGACAGAAGTGGTAACTTGCTAGTCTCTTCCTTTGGGTTCTCTCTGGTCCAAGGTGGAGATGTGTGGGTTTGGGGTGTGTGTAGGTGTGTTTTGGAAAGGCAAGGTCCGCTATTTATAAACTTTCAGGAGGGACCAGAATGACCCGTTCTGAATTCGGAACGGCCTGTTTCGGGGTTGCAATTTTACTCACAACGGCCATTTTCGGAACGGACTGTTCCAATTTCGGAACGGCCCGTTCTGGGCTAGAATATAGAGGTCATTTGGTAGTTTGGAAATGGCCCGTTCCGGGCTAGAAATTATAGTTCTTTTTTGAAGGTTTGAACGGCCCGTTCCAGTTTGGGAACGGCCCGTTCCGGGCTAGAATTTATAGTTGTTTTTGGAAGGTTGGAATGGCCCGTTCTGAATCCAGAACGGCCCGTTCCCGCCTAGAAATTTTAGGGCTTTTTCTGAAGGTTGGAACGACCCGTTCCAGTTTTGGAACAGCCCGTTCTGTGCTTCTAAAATCATATCAAAATTACTAAATTACCCTCCATAAAAATATAAAAAATGAGGTGTTACATTTGCCTTCTATATTTTTGTCTTTCTTATTCTTTTTTGTACATACCTTTTTTGCTATTTTTTTAAACAAAAATTGACATTTCCCGGACGAAATTGGGTTACTACAGTTGCCCCTCTTTACTTAATTTTACTAGATAATATAAACAACTCTTGTTTCCATATTATCGTAGTAAAATATAAGTAAAGAAAACACCAATTTCGTCCCTGAGCTTGAAACATTAAGAAACATGAGCGCGAGGGACACGAAACATTAAAAAAAAACATGAGCGCGAGAGCTCGAAACATTAAAAGACATGAGCGTAGGGACTCAAAACATTTAAGGAGTGAGCACGAGGGCTCGAAACATTAAAAAAGTGAGCACAAGAGCTCGAAAGATTGATAGAGTGAGCATAGAGGCTTGAGAATTAAAAGAGTGAGCACGGGGGCTCGAAAGATTGATAGAGGCCTGAAAATTAAAAGAGTGAGCACGGGGCTCGAAAGATTGATTGAGGCTTGAAAATTAAAAGAGTGAGCATAGAGGCTTGAAAATTAAAAGAGTGAGGACGGGGGCTCAAAAGATTGATAGAGGCTTGAAAATTAAAAGAGTGAGCACGGGGGCTCGAAAGATTGATAGAGGCCTGAAAATTAAAAGAGTGAGCACGGGGCTCGAAAGATTGATTGAGGCTTT